ATGATAATCCAGTCTCCTTCATCAAGCTCTTGAAAGGGATTACCACATCTCTTCCGACTCCGCATTCCAGGACTTTTTACCCATTCCAGTTATTGTTACACATCGCCAAAATTTTTTTACTTGGGTCTGTTCTGATTTTGTTTTGTCAGCCATGACTGAACTGGTTCGAACCAGTTAGACGTCCTGCTAAACCCCACTAAATTGGATAAATTTAAAATAGAGAATTTTATGGCATGTGAATTGTATCTCAATAACATAATTACCAAAAAAGGAGTCCTACCTATAAATATTAAGGATGATACTAAGCTGTTGGGAGACCTTTGTGAGGGTTAAACTGCATGACAATGGATATGAAATGTGTGGTGCAGTGTTATATTACAGACTCAGCTGCTGTATTACAATAAATGACGTCAACACTGATAAAGGCTTTCTGCCTAAAATACAAGGAGGGGGAAGGATACTGGATGAGGGGAGGCTGGTGTTGGGTTCTTGAGCTCCAGTCCAGCTGGGCAACAGTGACACCACCTAGCATGGCTAGGGCTTGCCCCCTCCCTTCTCTCTAGCCAAGAGCTATCTCCATGGCAACCACAGCAGCTCAAGCCAGGAGCTCCTGTTCCCAGTTGGGTGACAGCATCACCACAGCAACCTGTCAGGACCGCAAAGACAGATCTTGATGATGGGACCCAAGCAACTCTGGTAGAAGAATTGCTAAGGGATTCTTCTACCATAGAAGAATCCTGACATGGTTTCTATGGTCTCCATAGAAACCATGTCAGGAAGGAGAGGGAGGGTGAGAATAATCACAAACACAGAGCCCACACCTTCTTATCCATGATCTGAGACACCAAGGGCCACATCAGGGACACTTACAGCAGCCTAGCTGGCATCAGCCTCAAAGGAGAAGTGAACCAGGGTTTCCTGAGCACCTAACGTGTGCTAGGTACCACAGGGGTTCTTTTCAGGCGCAACTTCATTGTTTAAAATTTCATACACATTACCCAAACACAGTCTTAAGATTAAAAAAAAGTCAACTACAGCATTAATTAATCCCACCATTTCTAAGTCTTCAGTTTAGTGGGTCTTCCTCCAGATGTTTGCTTTGTATTTATACATACACACAAACACACATATGTACAAGGGGGCTTCAAACAGTTTGTTCTATATCACTTTTCAAAAAGTAATTACTGGAATTACACTCTATATGTAGCTCTATAACTTTCATTTCCTACTCAACAATGTCTTTTGGAGATGTTTCATGTCACTACATATATAACTGGAGTACTGGTGTGATGCTATACGATAAGCACTGGACTGCTAACCACCAGGCTGGTAGTTCACGCTCAGCAGTCACTCCTTAAAAGCCTACACAGGGCTGCTATGGGTCAGAACCAACTCAACAGTACTTAACAACAACAACACATATATCTACCGTATTGTTTTTTACCTCTTCATAAGATGGTTCCCAATCTTATTAATGATCATGAACAACTTCATACACAGGGTACTATCATTAGGACTTCTGGTGTGGCGCAGTGGGTTAATGCACCAGACTGCAAAGCCATTTGAACTGCAAGGTTGGCAGTTCAAGCTCACCAGCTGTGCCTCGAAAACCCAATACAGGATCGCTGTGGGTCAGAACTGACTCGGGGGCACTTAACAACAACAACAACAACAACATCATTATCCTGGGAGTCCTGGTGTGGTGCTGTGGGTTAATGCACTGATTTGCAAAGTCAATTTAAACCACAAGGTCAGTGGTGCAAGTTCATCAACCGTTCCTCAGAAACCTTATACGGGGTCACTATGGGTCAGAACTGATTCAATAGTACTTAACAACAACAACAAATCATTATCCTGAAGTCACAGATGAAGAAACCCAAACTCAGAGAGGAGACGTGGCTTTAGAGTCTCTGCACCATCTCTGCTAAGGAAAAGCTGGGTGAACCCAGGTAGGTTGTCCTTTTGTGGGCCTCAGTTTCCTCAGCCATACAATTGACAAACTCATTTCTAGGGAATATTTTGAAACTGTCCCCTCTTTTCACTATCAGGGTTAGCAGCAATGAGATATATGAAGATGGTGGCTCATACTATGGGCCCATCAAGCCCTGGAGCAGGGCAGGCTCCCCAGCAACCAATAGTGGCAAGACCTCCTCTTCCCACACTGAAAGCTGTTGGCACACACACTAGCACGTTCAGTGGAAAGGGCAGGCGAAGAACTGTTCCAGCCTCAGGGCTGCAGTTCTTCTTTCTGTCTCAGTTCTGGAATGCAGGCAGGTCCGCCCTCTGGGGACGTGGGCAGGCAAAGCCTGTAACAAGGAAGAAATGTGTCCCAGAGGAATGGAGGATCAGAGGATACCTCCTGAACAGTTAGAAGACGGATGAATCTATGAAACACCTCATAAAACATGGATGAACCTAGAGGACATTCATCAATCGCAAGAGACTATTGCAAGAAATCAAGAAAAGGTTTACTCACAGAAAGAAACATTCTGTGAAGGTTACCCAGAGTGAGAGGGTGTGTGTGCTTGTGCAATGTGCCGTGGAGTCAGTTCAGGGTACACGGTAAAGGACGGCAAGTTACTCACAGAGGACAGACACATAGTAACTGGAGTGAAAGGAAAGGCAATACACAATTGGGGAGGGTAGCAAAAAATGATCAAGGCAAAAGGAGGCACTGGGAGGAGCACAAGCTTTAAAGATCAAAGGTTAATGCTATTATCCTGCAATAATAGTAATAACAATAACCTACCATTGGTTAATGCGCTAGACTGCAAGGTCAGCAGTTTAAGCTCACCAGCAGCTCCATGGAAACCCTATACAGGGTCGCTATGGTCGGAACCAACTCAACTGAACATAATAATAAACAACCAGTCGGTACAAACCGAAAGGTCAGTGGTTCAAGCTCACCAGCCGCTCCTCAGGAACCTAATACAGGGGCTATATGAGTCAGAAGTGACATCATGGCATTTAACAACAACAACAACAACAACAACACTGTATACACAGTCAGACACACAAGCAGAACAGAAGTGGGAAGGTGAATAGGATTGTAACCATAAATATACATCAGCTTGACAGAAGATCATTCTACATATGTCTATATGCAAATATACCCATGAGTATAATAGAACATATAGGGGCAGTTATGAAAACTTCTTAGCCATAACCAAACACCTTCAGGGAATATGTCACTTGGATCTGGAGGCTCAGGATCATAGTCTCAGGGGACACAAGATCAACTGGCATGCCAGTTCACAAAGACCACGTTCTGCACCCGAATTTGTTTAAGTAACTATTGGAGTCTTAAGGGCCTGAGAGCTGCCATGTAACATGCAACTATTGGTCTCTGTCTGGAGCACAGAGGAGTTACAACAATTGAAGATGCAAGGAAACAATGAAACTAAAAGACTAAGGGACCACATGGACTAACGGCCTCTGTAAATCTTGAGACCAGAAAAACTACAGAGTGCTGCTGACCACTCTGAAAGGGATCTCAATAGGAGGTTCTTAATAGAGTGGGGAAAAAATGCAGAACAAAACTTCAAAATCATAAATAAAAAGAGCAGGTGTACTGATCCCATCGTTGCTGCCACTGTGTCAATCCATCTTATTGGGGGTCTTCCTCCACCTTACCAAGTCTGATAACCTTTTCCAGGGACTGGTCCCTCCTGATAACATGTCCTAAGTATGAGTGACAAAGTCTCGCCATCCTGGCTTCTAATGACCACTCCCTTCCAACAAAGATCTGTTTGTTCTCTGGCAGAACTCAAATGCATCAATTCTTCTAACGGTCTTCTTATGGTCCCTAGTCAGTCTTTAACCCTTTAAATCAATAAAGCACTGAACCACAAGGGCAATTAGAACTGCTAGGTCGGTGGTTCAAACAGCTACTCCTTGGAAGCCCTATACAGGGTTGCTATGAGTTGGAACCAACTTGATGACACTTGACAACAATTCACAATGGCTCAACTTTCAGCCAAGCAATAGATAGGCCTGTAAGGTGAACAAAAACACCAGGGAATCACACACTGCAGCAACAAGAACCCTGTTCCTCATGGACCACCCTCCATCCCACCCTTGGCTAGAACACCAACCATAGTAGATCATACGGCAGCATTTGCCCAAGGATAAAGCTCAAAAGGCTGGAAGGGATAGGAAAGAAGGACAAATGGAAATGGGAATCCCAGAAGTTGGGAGAGCTCTTACTTTGTAGAGGCTGCAAGCAATGTCATGCATCAAAATGTGTATGAATTGTTGAATGGAAAACAATTTGCCCTATAAAATTTTGGCCAAATCACAATAAAAATTTATTTTAAAAAGCTATCCTTTCCTCTCAGGGGTGGCTTATGAAACAGGTCTGATCAATGGGCCTTTTTGAAACCTGTTGAAATAAAATGTCTAGCATAGGGCCTAACACACTGTACACCTAACACATAGCAGAAGGAAGAAAGGGCCTGTCAGGTGGAGGAACTAGCAAAGACAGAGAGGCGTCTGAGATCTGTGTCATCAGACGCTGGCCTGAGATCCAGCTCCATCACTGAAGTCATACCACGTGGCAGTACCTGAGAGTCCGTAAAATATTTCCAAGCAAATCAGCCTAGTTAAACTCCCCATGACCCAGGGCATTATCATCCCATTTTACAGATGGGGAAACCGAGGCACAGAGAGCCAGGCCCCAAGATGGACCTTTCTGCCAGTTCTTCTGTTAATCCTTCCAGTAGTTGTGATTCTTTGATGGATGGCTGTCTCCATTATTAGCCTGGGAACTCCTTGAAGGCAGGAACTGTTTATCACTGTACCCTTGGTGGCCAGCACAGTGTATACAACAGGTGTTCAGGAAATGTGTGCTAGGGTATACACAACTCTGCCAAGGAACCATTCCCGTTTCCCACAAGCAGAGAGAGCGTTCAGAGAGCCCTGGGCTAGGTGGGGCTTATACACATCCCTTGCTTCCCCAGTCCCTGCCCGGCCCAGCTCTGCTCAGGACAGAGGGCTCTCACCTCTCTCGGCCGCTCCAGCTCTGTCTGCAGCACCTGTTTAGCCAGCTCAGTCTCAATGAGCCGCTGCCGGAGTTCCTCGTTCTCCTCCTCCAGACGCACCCGCTTCTTCTCCACCACCTCCAGCTCCTTATGCAGCCTCACAGAGATGTCCTTAGAGACCTGGTGAGGAAGGAGTGAAAAAGGTGTGACTAGGCTGAGTGAGGCCAGCTCACATGGCAGTGTCCATACCACGAGTTCAAAGAGCAACCCCTGAGGTAGACATTACCCTCACTAAGGAGTTGCGGAAACAGAGGCACAGAGAGAACCAGTAACTCATCAAGGGTCACACAACCATGAACCAGCAAAACTAGGACCCAAACCCAGGCACCCTGTGCTCCCAATGTCTATAATACCACAGTGCTGTCCCACAGACACTGTAAAGGCCCTGCTGGTCTCCTAGGAATCCCTCTGCATTTACCTGGGGTTGTTAGTGCTTCTAACAGCTTCTCCCAGGCACTCTCTTGACCAACTCTCACAAGAGCCTATAGCAGGGGCAGAAGGTCATTTTGAAGAGGAGAGCAGAAACCCAGAGTAAGATAAGGCAGCTCTGGAACCATTTGACGTCCATATCTGCCAGTGACCAGCGTAGGCTCCTGGGCAAATCGGTTCCCCATTCTATGCCTTTGTCTCTTCAACTACAGAATGGGTGCCAATAACGACAGCACTAACCTCGGGGTCTGATACGAGGATGCAGTCAGCTAGTGTAAGGAGAACCTTGGCACTGTGCTGACACACACTGAGTGCTGATGAGCAAGGGAGCCTGTTCACAGGAAGCCGAAGCCCAAGAGGGGCATGGCTTGCTGGAGGTCATGATGTGACCCCGGGGCCTGTTTCCAATTGTCTGGGATATAGAACATGCCTCAGTGACAAAGGGTGGGCAGGTGTCCAAGCTATCCTTACAGGAAGAAGCAAACAGAGCTCCCAGTTCTGAGACTCTGCAGCAACAAGAACCTAGTTCCTCAAGGACACTCTCTATACCACCTCTGGCTGGGGCTGAGGGAGGTCAGGAGAGGAGGCTTCTGTGTACAAGGAACCACTAGTTGCCATGGAGGTGACTCCAACCCAGAGCAACCCTGTGTGTGTCAGAGGAAAACTGCACCACAAGGTTTTCAGTGGTTGATTTTTTTGGAAGCAGATTACCATGTTTTTCTTCTGAGGTGCCTCTGAGTAGGCTCAAACCTCCAAACTTCTGTGTTTCAACTGTTTGCACCACTCAATGACTCTGAGGATGAGGAAGGTCCTGGTAAATCACAAGACTTCATTCCTCGGCAGACTGGGAGAGACGAAGGGGAGATCAAGCTGGGGCACTCCTGATTGTGGAATACGTACTGTATGCCAAAGTCAGCCTTTTATCTTCACCTCAACCCTGTTCCATTTTACCGACAAGGAAACTGAGGCTTAGAGTAGGAGTGACTTGCACAGCTGAACTGGGCACCCCAGAGGTTTGGCTGAGAAGGTACGGTCCAGGGCCTTACCATGTGCAAGGACGCCACCAGCAGGAGGCATGTAAGAGGTACACAGTCCAGTGCCCTGTGCCTGCCAGTCTCGGAAATGAACGTGGCACCTCCTCTCTGCCGGAAGGGCCCTCCCTGGCTCTGCCCTCTGACTGGGCCCAAGCCCAGCTCGGCCAGACTCGTTGGCAGTGTGCAAGGCAGGCCAGGAAAAACAACGGCCAGAAAGGAAATCTGGCACTGCCCCCCTTCTCCCTCCACCACCCACTTTCTGTCTCTGTCCCTGAAGATCTCTGAGGACAACCTTCTCCAACCTCTGGAGGCCATCAAACTTTTCCAGTCAGAAAGCAGGTGAGCACTCCCTCCTTCAGTATCAGAACAAGGGCTCAGAAGATGGTGAAAACACTGGATTCAAGCCCAGTTCCAGCACTAGGTGAGGTGACCTAGAACAAGCTCTTTAACCATTTGAAACTTCAGTTTGCTAATCAGTAAAATGGGGTTGTTAAAACCTACTCATGAGGGCTGTTGTGAGGCATAAACAACATAATGGACATGAAGTGCTTACCCTGTGACTGAAACATAGCTGTTGTTGTTAAGTGCCGTCAAGTCGGTTCCGGCCCACAGCAACCCTGTATAGGGTTTCCAAGGAGTGACTGGTGAGCGTGAACCACTGACCTTGAGGTTCAAATGACTTTGCAGTCCAGCACATTAGCCCACAGTGCCACAACAGAACCTAGTAGACACTCAGTAAATACCAATGTCACCCAATGGCATCGAGTCTGCTCCATAGGGTTTCAGAAGCTATGAATCCTTACGAGAGCAGACAGCCTCATTTTTCTCCCTCTGAGTGGCTGGTAAGTTTGAACTGTCAACCTTGTAGTCAGCAGCCCAACTTTTAACCCCTGTGCCACCAGGCCTCCTTTAATTAATACTAGTGCTTATTACTGTATTACAAGACTACTCCTTCACTATCCTCAATAGAAATTAAATTATTTTAAAAATAGATATATATGAATGATTGCTTTTTCTCTGCACAGTGATCTGTCTACCTCCACTCCACCCTCACTCTTGAATGGAGGTTTTCAGCCCCCACCTTCTGGTTGACATCTCCCAGTTTGGGGCTGTTAGGTCCCCCAGTGAATCCTTGTTTGGATCAACACTTCATTCATTCATTCATTTATCCTGCTTAAGCACTGGAGGCAGGAGTGGTGAGGCACAGAGATGAAGGTCCCAGACCATGCCTGGGCTCACTCACATCTGTGTTCCAGCAGCCATGCAGCATCTGGCACACACTAAGTGCCCAATAAATGCTTGCTGAATGAACAAACAAACCCAAGGCTCCAACAAGTGAAAAGAGAGAGATGACTGAATCACATGGGAAGTCAAGCCCAGACTGGCAGTCTAGGGATGCTCCCTTCAACTGACCACTCCACCCACTGTCCAGGAGGGCTATGTCCCCACCTGGGGAGGCATTCCCAACCCTACCACATTCCAAATAGATTTGATCCCTGGATCCTCTTGGGTTCATGAATGGTTTCTACAGATTTCATCCCTTCCCAAGCCCTCTATAAGTCCTCAGCACCCTCCTGCCCCATTCTATTTGTTCCCCACCCCCAAATGTTGCTATATCAATAGAGCCCAACCTCAGGCAGCTTGTGGAATTCCAATTTGGATAAAAGAGCTCTTAATCTCAGGTCCTCACAGCACTCTATATCCCTGGTGGGGAACCAAAGGGAGCAAAGTGTATCTGGCCTGGGAACCTGTCCCTTCCATCTCTGTGCCTCAGTGTCCTGGGACCCTTCTGCTCTCAGGGGTGATGCCTGTCGTTAAGTGCCTTCAAGTCAGTTCTGACTCATAGCAACCCCGTAGAGCAGGGGTGGGGAATGTCCTGCCTGCGGGCCACATAAGGCCGCAAAAATTTGGTTTGGGCCTGCCAAGGCAAACACGGTTCCAGCCATCACGTTAGGGGTGAGTTAATTAAATGTTTGACCAAATACAGCAGGCTAGTTTTAAAGTTGTTAATTTTGTATGGTCCATGAATAATGCTATACATTTTTGCAGAAAAAAGGCTCCTCACCTCTTGCTGAGGAATAGCTGGGGGGTTAGAATTGCCAGCTTTGTGGTTAGCAGCTCAGTGCTTACCTACAGCACTACACCAGTACCTAGGACCAGCTAATACCTCCAAAGCACTCACCATGGGGCAGCGCCTTGACCTTGCATCCCCTCGGAAAACGCTTTGATTTTTATTCTCAATCGGAGCCTCAAAAAGAGAGGTCACTTACCCAGGGTCACACAGCTAGAGAGTTACAGAAGAAAGATTTTAAATGAGGTGGGTCAACTCTAAAGGACTGCTCTCAACGTGACCCTGCTTGAAGAAACAAATAGATGAGTCTCAACAATCAAACTATTAATAAGCCTGACAGTGTGCTTACTCTGTATCAGAAGCTGGCAGTGCCCCACATGCCCATCTCAACAATCCCCTAGGTAGTGGGGTAGAGTAGCTACAGGAGGCAAGCAGCTTCAGCTTCCGGAAACCAGGGCAAATCCCGAAAGCATAAACAAATGTCCTCAGCCATGAGGTAACTGTTTACAGCGCTGAGGCCTGACTCCTGCCAAGTGCAGCCCAAAGCCTCAGCTTGCAGCCCCCCACTAAAGCTCCTCAACTTGCTGATCCTCAACTCAGGGGCTCAGAGGCTTCAGGAGTGAGGCAACTGTGTCACGCTGAATTCTCAGAGAGGTTATGGGAGTGCTCAAGGAGTCCTTGACTGGCTGAACTCTGGGATGGTGAGAATGCCAGCCCCATTTTACAGATAAGAAAACTGGGACTCAAACAGGGAGGCAACCTGCTGATACCACACAGAATGAAAACCAAAGCCTCAAGCTTTTTTTTTCCCCAGCAACACCTGTTCCTCAGAAAGGAAATATTCTACTGGCGAGTCCTTAAGCCTCCTGGGGGGTCACCAGGTAGTAAGTTATATCCCGGATTCCCACAACCTGACACCAGGATACCAGTAACCAAGGGTGGGGCCTGGGGATCTATAGTGTAAATAAGCTGGCTAGGTGATTCTTATCCACCCGGTGTGGTTGAGCTCTTCTGTCCCTGCCCACGGTCCCAGCTACTAGCCCTGCTGTTGATGTTGTAAAGTGCCTGGTTCAGGTTCTTAATGACCCTATTGTAAGATTTCCAAGAAGCAGTGTTTGAATCACTTTGGGGTTACATTGAGTGCTTATCCTACAGTGTCAAGCCAGGACTCCACTAGTAGACTTTTTAGTTCTCCTAAACCAACAAACACAGTATCACACAGGCAACATTTGCTCATTTGCTGGGTGAATACCCCATGACAGTCCTTGAGTTATTTCATCTTCGCCTCACAAATAGTACAGGTAGGAACTAGTTTTATCTCCATTTTCCACAGTGGGAAACGAAGGCTGAGACATGAAGGCACTTACTCAAGGCCACACAGCAAGCAAGTAGCAGAGCAATTCTCTATTGACACTGTCCCCCCTAACCCTGGGCCTTGCACTCCTCTGGCCAGGTAATGCCCCTGCTGAGGTTCCTGGGTCCTGTCAGCTGTGAAGGCCAGCAGAGGGTGAGGGAGACTGAGAGGGGACATGACCCCCTCACCAATATTAGCAGTCTGTCCAATAAAATCATCATAGCTGCAAGAGTCCTGCAGATTGGGTTGGTCTAAGCCCCACATGTGACAAAAGGGAGAAATGACGTAGAGGGGCAGTCAGGGAATTGGGGTTCCCAAGGCCTGCTTCTCTACCTGGGCCTGGCAAGTTTCCTAGACAATGCCAGTGAAGTCAGCAATTTGGGGATCTATGAGAATGTCCCAGAGAGGCCCCAGCACATTAAGCATGAAGGGTGGCAGCCAGAAGCGTCCAGCCCAGGCCAGGACTGTGGATGAGCTCAGAGCTCCAGCTACAGGGGCGGGAGAGGCCGCAGTGGGGGAAGGGGACAAAACTGCTGCTGATTGGCCAGTTCAAATCCCAACAGAAGGGGCACTCCGCTCCACCCAGACTCCTGAGAGCCACCCCGCCCCAGCAGCTGCTCTTGGCCCTCCCAGTCAGCCTGCAGCCTGCTCTCTGGCTCCAGCCTGCCTTGCATCCCTTCATCTCTCAAGTCTGATTTTGTTTTTGTGAATCTCACTGAAATATTCACCAATCTAGATCCAAACTCAGCTCCTGTCTGAGCTTCCCAGACTCCTCCCCACACTACTACCTCAACCCAGTGATTGGAATTTGAGTATCTACGTAACCAGGAGTCCTTGTGGTGCAAAGATTAAGCACTTGGGTGCTATCTGAAAGGTCTGTGATTCGAGCTTACCAGTGATTCTGCAGAAGAAAGATGAGACTGTTTATTTCCTTAAAGATTATAGCCTTGGAGAGTTGGAATCAACTCGATGAGTTTTGTATAGCCATTTATCCCTAGAGCTGCACTCACAGGCAGAGTGTAATTTGTTCTTGAAGACCAGTGTTGATGAACTGTCTCCTCATCTGTACAATGGGCCTACAACCCCACTGTGCAGATTTGAGACAACAGGAGGTGAGAAGTCTTCGGGAAAGATGTTCACTGTTTACTTCTGCTGGCCTTAGAGTGTCTTGTATTGTACCTCTAGCCTTGTCCCTTAAGATCTGTTTTCTTTACAGTCCACTGGAAAGGCTGCAGGGGGAGTCCTCTCTAGGTATGTGTTTCCACCCTCCCACTGCAGGGAGACAGCAGTTGAACTGCAGGTCAGTTCACCATCCTGCCTCTCTCCCCGGGTCTTACTGGAGCTGTCTTTTCTGCACATTCTTCATTCTCCCTTCCTGGCTCATGCCCACTTCCCCACCTGGCCTCAATCCAGAAGTTCCTCTAGGAAGACTCTCTAGGGTCCCCAGGCTGTGCCAGATGCCCCATTCCCAATTCCTACAACCCCCTGACCACACTGGGCTGAGAATAGGGGGGCCGGGCCCAGTACCTCTTGAGTTTTTAGCTCCCAGGAAGTAGGAGAGCAGTGAAACTAGGCAGTGAAGCCCATGAATATGTCCATGATCAGGTACTTCTTTTCTGTAAACCTTAGTTTCTTCAGCTGGAAAATGGAAATAACACTAATGGCCTGGGTGCACTAAGCTGGCATTTTCCATTATCTCACTGAATCCTCATAAAACCACTGTAAGGCAGGGGTGGCTGCTATACACATTTTAACAAATAAAGAAACTGAAACAGGTGACTTGCTCAAGGTCACAAAATTAGACCATATGGAAGCCAAGATGTGATCCTATCCTATCCTATCCAACTATAGAGCTTCCCATGAGCACAATTACAAAAAAACACCCAAAACTTCTGTGAAATTGCACAGGGAAAACGTAAAGCCCAACACCAGGTGTGTGGTCAATATGCAATATACAGTACTGCTGTTAGCAAGAGCTAACCACTGGGATTCCTACTTTACCAATGAGGACACTGAGACCCAGAGAGGTGGTGTAAACTTGCCCAAAAGACAGGGCTGGTTGGGGCTCCACTCAGGCTGTTGTCCCACTCCTGAGGCCATCTAATGAGGGTTGGGGAGCCTCTGGGCTTACCTTGACATCCTGTTCCAAGCCACGAATGAGCTCACCATCCACCTGGCCAGTCTGGGCAGCGCGGAGGCTGCGGCGCTCAGCCTTGCGCAGCCGGTACTGTAGGATGCGGCAGGTTTTACTGGCTTGGTCCAGCTGCTGCCTCAGCTCCTGTAGCTGATACACATCCTCCTCCATGTAGACATCCCGCATCTCCAGCATCTCTGCCCGCAGCTCCTCGATCTCGTCCTGCAGAGGGGAGGGGATCAAGTCACTGCACAGCATCTAGAGCACTTGAGTGCTGGCAGCACCCAGTGGTACCCTGGGTGCCTCGGGGTGCCTGGAAAAGGTAGCCTGAATAACTCCCCCCATACACATCCACACCTTAATCCCTAGAATCTGTGAATACACTGCCTTTTATGGAAAACAGACTGCAGATGTGATGATGGGCTTTGGGGTGCAGCGATGGAGTCGATTCTGAATCATGGTGGCCTCTATGTTTCAGAGTAGTACTGTTTCAAAGGTGTTTTCAATGTCCAAGATCTTTTCAGAGGGTGATAACCAGGCCTCTCTTCCAAGGCACTTCTGGGTGGATTCAAACTGTCAACCTATTAGTGAGGGCCACCTTGGGACTCTTAATGTAATCAGAAGGGTCAATATAAGTGAAAAGGGGAGGCAGGAGAGGGAGAGTCCAAGAAAGAGACGAAAGCAGAGGTCGGAATGATGCCATTGCTGAAAGAAGGTCACAAGCCAAGGAGTGTGGATAGCCTCTAGACAATGGAAGGGCAAGGAATGGATTCACCTCTAAAGCCTTCCCAAGGAATGTAGCCTTGTTTAGATCTTGCTTTTAAGATTTCTGATTGCCAGAACGATGAGATAATTAATTGTGTGTGGTTCTACACCACAAAATGTGTGGTAATTTACTACAGCATGAGGAAATCAAAGCACTGGAAGCAAAAGGTAGTCTTTATTAAAAAACATTTATGAGCACCAACTATGTACCAGACCTTAAGCTAAGCACTTGGGGGGTGGGGTGAGAGAAGAGGGAACAGTGACCAACACTGACCCTTCTGTGTGGAGCCCCAAGTCTCAGTAGGAGACATATCAAAAACAGACAACTAAAAATCCAGATACTGTGAAAGGCTATGAGGAAAACAACAACTGAGTAATTAACAGGGCATCAAACGAGTGAAGGTGATGTGTTAGAAGACATGGGCAGGTAGAGATATTTGAGCAGCCACACAGACAGAAAGCCAGAGAGGAATTCTTCCAGGCAGTGGGGAAAGTCCTAGAGGTAGGAAAGACCTCAGTGTATCAAGTAGAGGAAGCTGGGGAGGGGGAGGAGGGTTACACGCTGAAGAAACACGGGCTAGTCATGCAGGGCCTAGACGGGCTGAGTAAGGAGTCTGGTTTTGGTTTTAAATGAGTGCTGTACTGACCTCACTTCCTCTGAGCAGCTCCTGTCCATTCCTGTCACCAACTAACTCCCAGATGTTCCTCACTTCCCCTTTTAATCATTATTGCATTTGAAAGTCTTTACTTAACAGCTAGTCTTCCAGTAAGGCTGAGTGCCTGGGGGGCACTTCCTGTCTCCCTCTTTCTTTGCTGTATCCCCCACATTCAAGTGGGGCCTGGCACCCTGCAGGCTACCAACAAATACTAACTGGACAAATTAATATCCGTCTGCTGTGACCTACCCATAGGGTTTCTGAGGCTGTGAACCTTTACCGGAGGAGAAAGCTTCATCTTTCTGTAGTGAATTCCAACTGCTGACGTTAAGGTTAGAAGCCCAATGCATAACCCACTATGCCACTAAGACTCTTTGAATACATATCTATTTAGGTGGAAAACAGCATAAAACATGCACCAATATGAAATAATCGTTAGACACAAAGTGGAAGGTAGCAAGGGGGGAGCCCCAAAAGCAGAAATACAGAATTATCCTATTTTACAGGTGAAAACTGAGTTACAAAGGGAGAAAACAGTATCTACTCTTCACTGTGAATATGGATTAAATAAGATTGTGCACTAAAAGGGGAAACTGAGTCAAGGTACCTCTTAGGAGCAAGAGGAATTCTCCCAGGACTTTACTGATAAGAGGAGGGAGGTCTCCTCTTCTCTTGTGTTTCCATCAAGAATGTCTACTCTGAGTCCCCACTGAAAAATTCTCATCTTGTCTAGATGTGTCTGGTAAAAAGAGATGGGGATAAGATTCTTATGATTTAATAGTGAGTAATTGTTACCATGACTGTGACTAACACAACTGTAAAGGTAAAAGTTTGGTAACAAAAAACGGGGGGGAGTTAATCTTAAAGTCCAGAAACAAAGGACCCTAGGACCACCAAGGGAGAAGAGAACAAGTGAGAACAAGTGGAATGCAAGATATTATCCAGAGAAGCAGAAGCAGATATGGAGGCAGAGATGGGAACATGGAAAGAGGGAACAGCTGAGGACTCTAGACTCATGGGAAGAGAGGGACTAAGAGGTGGCGGCCAGGAGACAGACTAGCAGAATGTGCCCTTTGGTGGAGTAAATTATTATATTTGCCTGAGTGTTTAAGGAAAAAAAGCTAAAGTGAATAGAGAGAAATACTGTTAATTGATAGTACATGGAAGGGATTATAATCATTGTAAACAAGGTATATGATTTGTTGAATGTAAAATTGATGATCTGCCCTGTAAACTTTCACTCAATTCACAATAAAAACTTAAAAAAAAGAATGTCCACTCTGCTCTCCCCACACCAGGGCAAGCCTTCAGGATGAAGGGCACTTCCAGGTTCTTGGCAGACACCACTCACTCACCATCCCTGGGGGAAAAGAGGGTATAGGGGAGGCTCAGCAGTTTTCTGTCCACAGACAGGTGCTGTTGATTCATATGGTCAGTTTGGTGGGTAATCCGATTCCCTGTAGGGTGGGGTAATGATCTGTGATTGTCTAGTGTCCCCTGATACTATGTGGGTCAGTTTAATTCAGGGGGCAAGATTAAGAAGCAGCACCCTCTGGTCCAGGAGCTCTGGTAGCATAGTGGTAACAAATCGGACTGCGAACCTCAAGTTCAGCAGTTCAAAACTACCAGCCATTCCGTGGGAGAAAGATGAGGCTTTCTGCTCCCGTAAAGATTTACAGCCTCAGAAACCCTGTACAGGGTTGCTATGAGTCGGAACTCACTCACTCCATAGCACATAACAACAACAACCCTCTGGTCCAGTTCCTAGGTGATTTTTACATGCATCTGGTTGACTCCTGAACTTAAGAGGGGAACACAGAAGTGACAAATAAATATTTGTTCTTTCAGTCCTAATAGATACTGTTCCTATATCAACTGAAGGGTTTAATCCCCACTGCCTCCACAGCCTATGCCCAAGGGGTGGATTTGGTGGCCCTCTCTCTCCAAAGGAAGGGATCTTGCCTGTGCCAGCTACAGTCACCTTGCCAAGCACCCAGCCCCCACCTCCTGATACACACACACTCACCACCCCACAGCCAGGCTAAGTGGACAGAGCTCCAGTGGGAAAAGGAGGAAGTGGAATAGTCACCAATCAGACCAGTTACGGAAATGGGGAAGTGAAGGCAGGGTTTGCTTTAGCTGGCAGATTAAAAATGCCTCAAGGAAACACCATTTAGAAAATGCAAGCCAGATGCCAAATCAGAGCTAAGTCAGCCACCAGATGGGCCTGTGTTCAAATCCTAGCCACCAGGTCTACTAGCACCTTATGTATTCTTTGTGGCTACATTCATAGACCCATGATAGGGGTAATGTGGGGGTCTGAGTGAACCCCAAGCTCAGGATAAGCCAAGGTACAATGCAGGGACTACACAAGCTTTCAATGCTGGGCTACAGATGTATGACCTTTGGATCACAGGAGGTGATGTCCTTCCACATTGGACTACACCCAGAGCACCCAGAAATCTTTTTTTTTTAATTGCGATGAGTATACACACACACACACAGGTATATATATGGAGTCCTGATGTGGTGCTGTAGGATAAGCACTTGACTGCTAAACACAAGATCAGGGTTCAAAACTACCAGCTGCTCCTCGAAAACCCTATACAGGGTCGCTATGAGTCTGAACCAACTCAATGGCACTTAACAACATACATATATATATTCAGAGTGCTGGCGTAACACTTCAGGATAAGCATGGACTGCTAACTGCAAGGTTGGCAGTTCAAAGCCACCAGCCGCTCCTTGGAAACCCTATACAGGGTCGCTATGAATCTGAACCGACTATAGAACACTTAACAACAACTATACATATATAACATATATGGACTCCTGGTACAGCACTGTAGGATAAGCCCTGGACTTCAAACCAAAAGATCAGTGGTTCGAACCCACCAGCTGCTCCTTGGAAACCCTATACAGGGTTGCTATGGACCCCTAGTAGTATAGTGGACTATGAGCTGGGCTGCTAACCACAAGGTCAGCAGTTCGAATCTACCAATTACCAGTTGGTCCACCTTGGAAACTATATACAGGGTCACTATGAGTCAGAACCACCTCAATGGCACACCAATACCACCACACACACACACTATATATATATATATGTTATTAAGTGTTAATGCTGTTGAATCAGTTCTGACTCATGGCAATCCTGTATACAGTTTCTAAAGCTGTAAATCTTTGCAGGAGCAGAAAGTCTTTTTTTTTTTTTAATGTTTTATTGTGAATTATTTGATAGTTTACATGGGAGAACATTGGTTTTACATTCATTCTATCGTATATCGTCTCATTGCCATGGTTACAATCCCCTCCATGCAATCCTTCCCCCGTGCCCCCCAGGTCTTCAGCACACAGTCGCTCTCCCTCTCTGGATCTAAAGTCTCCAGCTGCTCCATTGCTCCACGTCTGTGCTCCATTTCAGGCATCACTGCTTCTCTGGGTAGGGTCCCGGAGCAGAAAGTCTTATCTGTGGTTCACAGTCTTGTGGTTCACAGTCTAGTACTTATCCTACAGAACCACTGCACTCCCATGTTGTTGCTGTTAAATGCTTTTGAGTTGGTTCCGACTCACAGTGATCCTGTATGGCGTTTCCGAGGAGAGACTATTAGGTTTGAACTTCCAATTTTGCAGTTAGCAGTCCAGTGCTTATCCTACAGTGCCACACCATACAGATACATATATACATACACATACACACATGCATATACATATATATACATATATACATACATACAGAGAGAGACCCATTTGGAATCCTGGCGTGGCGCGGTGCGTTAATAACACTGGACTGCAAAGTCA